TTACTGTATCAACACTGTGTGATTTATCAAAATAAAAATCTTATTCATAATGGAGTCTACGAGCTCGCTTTGTAATCAGAAGGTCCTAAGTAGGTACATTAGTGCTCTGGAGTCCCACGCTGGCACGAAACAGCTGCCCCATTAATTACTCCCTGGTTTTCAACGGTTGTCTAACTGACGTCATTTACTGAACAACCTTCAAATCCCTACAAATCAATACTCAATGCACATATGTTGAAGATCATAATTTAGGCTGTTCACATTTATACTTTCATTGATCCGGTACAACCTTTTGAACTTCATCATCTAAGTGTTGTTTTGGTTGACAGTGGCTAACCTTGTAGTCTAGGATGTGTGTTTCGTCCCAACTGGGGATTCGTCGACTGAAAATGCCTATAATCTGCGTAATAATCTTCCCATTGGGGAACTCGAACCTATTAACCGTTGTTATCTCAAACGCTAAAGGATTATCCACCCATTTGGTTTCCTTGATAAATTCCGATAGAGAAAGAAAAATCAGATTTGCAGTATAAAATGGTATCATCATTCTATTTCACAGGTTCTCATCAGCTGCAAACTACCTTCAATGTTTGGAAGGTAATAGTGAAAACATTATAAGATGAACGCATCAGGTATTACAATTTTTAGTTTAAGTTAACATCAATTTATTTACTTTAAAACTATGGAAAAAGAGGGGTGAGAGGAGACAGAAAAATCTAATACATGGTGTTAGCTTGTACGTCGACACAACAACTCAAGAAGGTTAAAGTTCATCAAAATGAAAACTTGCTTAATGATCTGAGCTCACTAGTGTGTATGACAAATCAGTGTAATAAAAGTAATAAGGTTACCAAGGGAGTGAGAGATTGACTACACTCTCTCTGTCTGTGTGCATAAATTTGGTCTGAGATGTTTGATTGCAATTGCTTCAGCAAATCGTCGTAGATTCGCTGTCCTTTGTATATTTAACATTTTGAAGGATTTGAAAATCTCGACAAAATGACCCGTATCCGCAGGATGGGTGTCTGGTAATTGCACTCTGTAAATATCTGCTTCCTTTTAAGCATAAGTTTCTAGGAATATGCTCTGAAAATCGGATAGAAGCCCGGCATTCTTTCTGTCCTTCCAATGTACTTGCTGCCGCAGGTGCACGTAAATTTATAAATGCAGTTGGAGGTAAAATCAGCAGGGTACTTATCCAACCAATCAAAACTGGATGATGAGAACTTGTGAAATAGAATAATGATATCATTTTATACTGCAAATCTGGTCTTTCTTTCTCTATCGAAAGATTATCCATCCATTAAGCGACTGAGCTTAGGAGACCCTGAATACTACTGCTGGTCACTAGCAAACCAAGTAACACTATATTCACCTGAAGACATCATTGAAGCGTCCGGCTAGGAGCCGATTGGTGAACACAGGGACGGAACACTACACTATTCCCAACAAATGAGTCAACTAAAACGCTCAGTTAATCATTTATAAAGACTTTATATGCAATATGCTAAGTGTACGGACGACTGATAACCCCTATCCGCAGCTCCAACTCCTGTGGTGAGAGCTGGCTGCGAACAAACCAAAATTGTAGACAACAGTTTACGTCCGTGTTACGTCTAGAATCAGGATCATGAGAAAAACGATAACAAATCTTAACCTTGAGGAACTCAACAACCAATCACAGCAGACTTAACGTATGCAAATGTGATTCGCAGATATATGGCTTAACTTTCTGAGAAACAGCCACAAAGACATGACAGAATAACCCTCAGCAAGAAAACAACCAATCAGAAAACGTTGCTTCTCTGCTGACAATAATGTACATAAAAATCTATAAATATCTCTCGTGATTTTCTCAATAAACAATCTGTTGCCTAACTCTTGTCTTCTGTCGTTACACCCCCACATAGCAGCCTACGGTTACTAGCCTGACACGCCCAACCGTCCCTTTAAATTCCAGGATTACAACTAGCCAGTTGAGATTTATGAATAGCAATGAGTCAGTAGCCAGAAATCACACCCCACACCAGATGAGGCATGGTTGACCAGCATTCCACACGCCTTGAATCACCGACACACTGTGACTGTGACACAAGTGGATATATTAGATGGTTGGCGGGATTAATCGGTCACAGGAAGCCGTCGCCGCTGTCTTGCTTGACCTAGGTTTCGAGCTCACCAGTCAGTCAGCAAGGCGTATCTCTCTGCAACCCACCTTGAAGAAACTCATGCCTCTCTCTCTCTCTCCTTCTAAGATTCGAACCCGTGTCACTACCCAGTGTTCCAGTCAGAGAGACGAGAAGTTTTTAAATAGGTTAGCTAGAGACCTTAGAGAGACATATAAATAGGCATATTCATCATATTAATCATGGAATCCCAGCAGAAGCATTGAAAATGGACCCAGAGACAACAGCGGACTTGATGACGCCACTACTGGAGAAGGTGTGGAAAGAAGGCAAAGTACCCGAGGATTCGAAGAAAGGATACTTATTCAAACTACCAAAGAAAGGAGACCTAAGTCAATGCAAGAACTGGCGCGGAATTATGCTCCTGTCCATCCCAAGCAAAATACTAAGCCGCATCATCCTGGAGAGAATCAAACATGCCCTGGATGAAAAAATTCGACCGGAACAGGCTGGATTCAGGAGAAACAAGTCATGCATTGATCAGATCGCCACATTACGGATCATCATTGAACAAAGCTTGGAATGGCAGTCAGATCTCTACCTCACTCAACTTCATTGACTTTGAAAACACCTTCGACAGCATCGATCGAAAGGTGATTTGGCAACTACTTCGCTACTACCAACGGGTACCACCGACAATTATACATCTCATCCAACAGCTGTACGACAATGCTGCATGCCAAGTAATCCACAACGGGAAACTCACGGAATCCTTCGAAGTGAGGACAGGAGTAAGACAAGCTGGCTGCCTACTATCACCAATGATTTTCTTGATTGCAGTAGATTGGATAATGCGACAAACAGCGGACAATGAGGAAACAGGCATAAAATGGACCCACACAAAATACTTGGAGGATCTGGACTTCGCCGATGATATATGTCTCATTTCCCACAAACTGGAAGATATGCAAGTGAAAAGCAACAAGTTAGCAGAAGAAGCATCAAACATAGGACTTCAGTTGAACATAGGGAAGACAGATGTAGCTGATGAAGATTCCTGGACAAGAACAACAACAACAGACAACGATCAGCATAAATTGAAGGAACCTGAAAGAAACAACCTCTTTTACCTACCCAACTAGGAAGCATCGTTTCAAATACAGGCGGAACTGACGAGGATATCAAAGCAAGGATCGGAAAAGCAAGACAAGGTTTCACTACTCTCAAGTCTGTGTGGAGGTCAACAGCACTCATCATCAAAAATAACATCCGGATTTTCAACTCAAATGTGAAGTCAGTGCTACTCACTACGCGGATCAGAGACTTGGCCAGCGCGTCATAAAGAGCATCTCAAACAAACTACAGACCTTCATCAACAGCTGCCTTCGCTCAATACCACTCAAGATTAGATGGCCGGCCAGAAAAGATCAGCAACAGAGATCTCTGGCAATGAGCGAACCAACACAGCAGGAACTGATTGTAAAAGAAATAGGCAGGAAGAGATGGAGATGGATTGGCGGGTTATACTCTGAGGAAATCATCAAGTGACATCCCTAGACAAGCCATCACTCGAGTGGAACCCGCCAAACGGGAAGCGGCGAGTTGGTCGTCAGTGCAAGGGTGACTTGGAGGAGGTCATGTGAAGACGAGATGAAAAACGTGTAGACAGACTTGTAACCAGGTAAAGACTCTAGCAGAGAACAGAACGCAATGGAGACGCACGGCTGAAGCCCTATGTTCCTCTAGGAATTAAAGGAAACAATAATAATAATAATCATAAAAAACACATTGAGAGAAAAAAGAAACGATGCCCCATTTGTTATTTGTATTGTATTCGTCACATAATCATCACATCAGCAATAATAATAATATAATAATAATGATAATAATAACAATAATCGTCACATTGGTAGTAAGTAGACTGGTTGACAAAAATCGCAACACACGCACACACACACACAATAAAAAGAAGCAGCGAGAGGGGAAGAGACAGACAGACAGAAGGGCGAAGAGGAAAATAACAGACACTCAGACAGACAATGCAACAGCGGCAGGAGCAGCAGCAGCAGAAAATATGAGGGACGACGAGCTGAAGAAGTAAATATATATGCCAGGAATGAATGTAAAATAAAGGAAGAGGAACTGAAGAGGCGTGTGCTTCAGCGCCAAAGGAGCGGAGCGGGTCGAGGAGGGGCGGGGCGAAACAAACGGACAGACAGTGCTAGAGAGAGAGAGAGAAAGGGAGAGAGGCAGCATGGAATTTGCAAGGTAGGCCGGCCGCCAGGCGAAGAAGCCAGGCATCAATGCATGATGAATATGGTGTAGTGGAGAGACGAAAAGAGAGAGAAATGCTCAGCAAAGCTATTCCAACACACACATATACACACATACACGCACACAATGGCAGCAGCAGCAGGCGGAATGGCATCAAATACAATGAGCAGAGTAGAACACACAGGAGAGATCGAAGAATAGGAAGATAATATACACACATGTATATGTGATGTGATTGGTGCATAGGAGTAGCGACAGTAAAGGTAGTAATAATAACAATAATAATAACTGGTTATATATATAGAGTTTTGTTGCGGTACACCTCCGCCATTCTCTCAGCATCGCCATCTCAGCTGCAGTAAAAAAAAAGATGTGACTGAACGGTACATTCTTTATATACGTGTGCGTGTATGTGTAAATATGCACGAAGAGCACAAGTATGTGCGTATGAAGCCTATTATAAGTAGTAAAAAGTCTGCCATTCCTTCCCAAACACACACACACGCACGCGTACACGAATGCACGCACGCACTCAGGCACACACACATACACACAGAAAGGACGAGGTCTCTGATGCTGATGTAAGCGAATGAATGAGAGTGTGAATACACAATTGTCTGAATAGAAACTAGCTACACACACGCACATACACACGCACAAATACACTCTCTGTCTGTCCAATATATATCTGTCTATGGCATAACATAACCTTCATCGGCACGTTCCCCGGGGGCGTAGGCGCCTGAAAAACCAATATGCGGATCTGTTGTTTCATGTGGTATATGCCCACCAGGTACTGCTGGTGCTGGTTGAGCAAATGTTGGTGGACCACGTGTAACATGTGTAGTCATTACACCAGTCATTGTAATAATGAAACCATTCCCTCGACGTTCACATCGGAAACGTGTTGCTAGCTCAGTGATGTAGACAGCCAAGGCGACAGCAGAGAATACCTACATAGTATGCAGAAAAAAAATAGAAAAAAAATATATGCATGTCTATATATATGCCAATATGAAATATTAAGAAGCTCCCGGGGAGGGATGATGTATAGCGACAGTAGCAGCCACCACTATAAACGACGTGGTATGGTTAAGGGTGGATAGACTTTAGTCTTTCCTCTCTTGAAAGGTTTGTTCTCATCTCGTCACGCATTCTTGGTCTACCTCTAACAGGTAAGTACGATTCACTGCCTGACGCCTGGCGCTTACAACCGGAATGATGGACGTACTGATTGACTGGTCTCAACATAGGACTTTTCACACAGATGTGCCCCAGTTCGAGTTCCCACTCTCCCTCCATGTGGCACACAAAACAAGAGAAGAGAGTTAAAGGAGGTTCAAAAGACAGATAATACAAGGAAGTGTGAGTGAGGGAAAAAGACCTAGGGGAGCCATGTTCTGGTTTGACCATCACTGGCTTTCTCTTTTCCAACCTGACCCTATGTCAGCTAACATTACCCATCGAGGAAGGCGGTCGATGGCTAGGCATGCGTAATACACATATCCTAGCCATCTCTGAATTAATTCAGCTTCACAACTAGCTCTTATCACTTAACGCTTGACACCTAACCACAATATTACTCGCCATATTATATCACTCAACGTAAACACACCTATAATCAAAGACAGCTAGCCGGTCTTTTCATTTCTTCCACTTTCAATGTCCACGTCTCACAGCCAGACATAAAAGATGACAGAGAAATCTGCTGCTGTGCACTACACACTTTCTATAATCGATAGCCAACTGGATTTCACGTCTACATCAGACATGACGTAAGTTGGCTGGCTGACTGTCAAATGTCACACGAGCCTTTGGTATCCACACGTTAAGATTTCCTCAGCAGATGTTTATTTTAAAAATCGCCTCTATCCCAAATCTGGTATTATTTAGTCAATAGTGAATAGTAAAGTGCTTGTATATATACACCTTTTTATCTGTAATCGACCCAGCAAAAAGACGAAACAGCCTACGAAGTTGTAATGACCATTTTCTATTCACAGTATGTATGCTATGGCCATCAAAAAGTGACTTTCTTTTTTTCAACAGAAAGTGAAAATCACAAAAGCTGACATTTTAGTTTTATTGGTAGATTTTCAAAGTTGTAAAAAGCTTGGTTATGCAGCCTGAAAATTAGAATATAAGACCTGATTAAAACGACCGCACAATTTACGCCATTTAAACATGGAAATAATCTGATTGGTCAGTTTAGTGATTGAACAATCGTTTTAACCAATCAGAAACAACTTGACTTTATCGATTTTTTTCACTAGAGATATTAGAGACTACAAGATGCAAGAATGTTCAAGAGTTGGTTTAAGTGTGTATTCCGACTGATTTCCGTCATTACTCAGTTGGAATCCAACGGCCTACGACAACTCGTAAGCATGACGCTTCTACCAAAATCCACAATCGTGAAGCAATCATGACTTGTATAAACCACTAAGTCAAGTATGGAGACAGCTACTTTTCGATGACATCACATACCTCGAATCGACATAGAAATGAAAATTCATAGGCCATAGTTGCAAATTCTAATGAATAACTTAGTAAACTGAGTGATAATGTGCTCACCTGGTAACTTATAGGTCCCAGGTATCATTCAAATCGGAATTACAAATGTGTACTACTACTGAAGAGTGCCCTAGACTAGGACGAAACAGCTAGTTATCTGATACCAGAACGAGGTGACACTTTACATTTCCTCAGAGTCAAATTGGGCAAATTTTAGGTGACTAGTAACAACAGACGGGAAAACTAGCTGTTCATCAAATCCTTGACAGTTAGTTTGAGCCAGCCAGCAAGTCGCGGCGTATGGAGGTTGTAGGCTTCCTGGTTGGTGTCCGCGAGCCCCTAAAAACCAATGGCTACAGACAATTGGTGATATGGCTGAAAATCGTTCTAAATGGCGAATATGCATCTACACTTTGTCATTTGTCATATCTATTAAACCTGATTACATCTTCGCATTATCATTCTTTTTCCCGATCACATTTCCGCTTATTATAGTTTTTTCAAATGTCCCTTTTGGCTCTCTTTACCCCACCTTTGTGCGCTACATGGAGAATATGGTGTACCTCGAACTGATGCACTTATATACTGAAACATAAGTCAGCCAGTCAGTCAGTATTAGTTCACTTGCTCCTGTGAAATCACGCTGTACGAGCACGACATTATCTAGATTGCATGAGGAATTCGTGGGCTTTTCGGAGCACCAATCTTCGGATGTTTGGCATGCGATTCGTTCCCCTTGTCAAATGTAAGATGATGCTACAGGATTGGACTACAACGACTCCTAGCTTAAAGATAGGGAGCAACTGAAGTGGTAGAGAATGTTAAACACTTCACTTGTTTGGGGAGTTGTAGCAGCCAACGCCAACGGGCTGATTGCTGACGAGATATCATCACGGATAGAAAAGGCTCGTTTGGCATATGCTCGCCAACCTAAGCTATATCTTGCTTAGTAAACGTGATATCTGGCTGGCTATCAATCGAAGGATGTGTGTACTGCACAGCACCAGTTCACGGGGTTCTCCCATCATGGCTGACAGTGAGATACGGCCATTGGGAAGTGGAAGACATGAAAAGGCCGGCCAGCTGTCTTTGATTTGATTATGGCTTAATCAGTCAATGAAATCCATAACAGGTAGTTTAAACCAGCCAGCCACCTCAGGGGGTGTACACTCCTGACTGGTTGGGGTCTTCCGGATGGTAAAAACAAATGAAGGCTGAAGACAGTTGGTGATATCGCTGGATTAAAATCCTCGTTCTCAACGGCTGGTGCAGATGCATTCACTCTTTGTGATTTATAATATCCAATAAAATTCTATTGTTCTTCCATATGACTACTATTCTTTTTGCCTCACTCACGCTTCTGCTTATTATCTGTCTCTCTCTTTACTCTCTTCTCTTGATTTGTGTGGTACATGAGAGGAGTATGGCAAGTTGAACTGGTGCACATCTGTGCAAAGTTCTACGTTGAAATCAGTCAGTCTGTCAGTCACATTATCTAGACATGTTCATGAACAGCCTCACCACCAGTATGATTGTCGAAGACAATAACAACCGCTCAGAAGCTCAATTCTATTTTTTTCTAATTTTGATTACAGTTTGATTCCACACCATATTTTTAGGTACAGGTATAGAATTTTCAGCATGTGATATCGGTAGCCAAAATTTTGCAGGCCGACCATAGATATCAGGTGTGCGTCGGCAGGGGATCGAACTCCGGACCATGTGCATGGTCGGCGAGAGTCCTATTATTATTACTTCTCATCATACAGTGGATAGACAGTGGACTTCATTTAGCCTTCTCGTTACATATATTATCGCAAGATAAACCCAGTGACAAGGATTTCACCTGACAAATTTCTTCATTCCTCAGCTGAGGTTCTTGTCATCCAAACGGTAAGAAAAATCCACAACTTTGTATTCAAAAACGTTTTATTCAGACATGCATGACCACCTCAGTGTTAAATTCATTTTATTGATTTGTTGCATAATATGTGTCTACGTGATTCCCTTTTTGTGAGTGCAACTTTGTTTCAACTATCTCCAAATAACTATTCACTGTTTAATGGACTCGATGTTCGTCTTATCGATTACGTAATGCAATCATTATTTTTCTTACATTAAGATTACCCAAACATCAATTCGATTTATCTTTATCATAACTATCCTTACTAAGTGTCAAAATGACCTTTGACCTTTGTTGACAAATCACGTTGTACACTATAAAACGCCTGAATAACTAACTGTACATATTTCTGCTTGAATTAACACTTCAAAATATACTCACCAGTGAATCCCTACAGCATAGAGTTGCCTACAGTTTTCTAATGAGAAGTCGTCTTGATCAGCAGGGCCTACCAGGTACATACAACATGACAACATCTCATATACTCACCGATGATATTGACTACCCGATCACTCTTACGTAGTTTACCGCGAACTGACAGACATTCGAATTGATGGGCCAATGGATTCCACTGGTCCTACTGGTTGAATGATCAGTGATCTCACCTTGTAATGACGATTTGATCTCTGGTGGGGGGTTGCCCCACCTCTGCTGCTTACCTCTGAGGAGTCCCAAACAGGGACGAAGCAGATGTCCAATATTCCCTCTGGGTTTCCAATGGTTCTCTGAATAATGCATCAGTTCGTGATCAAATTTGAGTACAATCTAATCTCTGAGAGGTAGGGAGTCATAGCTTTCAATGTGATCTCTTAGATATAATAGAGAAGATTTGTAGCTCAGGTGGATGATTTTGATGTGGTTGTGTTCTCTCAGATAGCTGGATGGTTTATTTACGAGGCTTTCATCGCCCTACTAGACGACATCTTCAAATTAAGGTATGCGCTGAAGATGTCGCCTAATTGGGCGATGAAAGCTTCGTAAATAAACCATCCAGCTAGCTGAGAGAACACAACCACATCAAAATGTGGTCTCTAAATGAAACTGGTTGTTCCTGGCGACACAACTCACACTTCAAATTAATTCACAGCCCCACAAATCCCATCCTATAAATATCAATCTTAAGTCTGTTGTTGATGGATACTGGAAGTATGTCCTGCAGCAGTACCAGTGAGGGATTCAACATGTGTCAAGGTAAAGCGTTGGCTTATCGAAGGCATTTCTTGAGAGTAGTGCTATTATATCACGAATTGACACAGTAGATAGAATTCAAGAGTCATTGGGTTTTAGTGATCCGTCTACCTGAGGCTATTTTTTTTTATTTTGATTACAGCTTGATGCCACACCGTATTTTCAGTACAAGTATGGACTTTTCAGCATGTAATGTCGGTAGCCCAAATTTTGCAGGCCGACCATAGATATCGGGTGTGCGCCGGCAGGGGATCGAACCCCGGACCATGTGCATGGTCGGCGAGAGTCCTAACCACTGTGCTACCGACGCACAGTCACGACGAAATCTAATAACTGAAATTAATCCGA